GAAGAAGAGGGCCCTGTACTCTGCCTGGAGGAATTCCCAATATTTAAATGGCCCACTCCAGGAGGATGAGCCAAAAAGGAGACAGAGGAGCAACCAGGGAGACAGGAAGAAAAAAAGTAGGGTGTTGGTAAGTCACAGAGGACAGGGAGGAGCGGTTTTAAAAGCAGAGTGTAGCCAACTTCAAATGCTGCCGAGAGCTCATGCATGATGAAGGCTAGAAATTGTCTTTAATGGCAGGCAGGTCGTTGGTGGCTGTCTGAAAGCTATAAAGTACTGGCTGTAGAAGTCTCACGGGATTGGGCTGAAGAGTGAATAGGAAAGAGATGTGGGCTGTAACAGACACAGGGAGGTGTTCTGAGAGGCTTAATTATGGCGGGCAGTAGCTGGGAGGGGGTTATGGAGTCAAAGGAGAGCTTGTTTAGTTTTGTTAGTGGGGATCTAATAGATCATATTTAAAATTGAGTTTGGAGGAATCAGGTAAGAGGGGAGTCGACTATATGAGGAGATAAGGTAACAGACAGGATGAGATCCTGAGAAGGCAGGAGATGAGTGGAATCCAGAAGCAAGGAGGGTTAATATAGGTAGGTGAGTATAATGGTTAGAAGCAAGGAGGGTTAATATAGGTAGGTGAGTATAATGGTTAGCAGAGGAGAGAATTCGATGGTGTTTCCCTCCCCGCTCATAATGTAGGTAACAGTGTCATCTGCTGAAAGGGAAGAAGAGGGCTTTATGTTTGAATCCAGGGTGCCTTTCATCTTAGAAGCACCATAAGTAGCTTTCTATTTCCTCGCTTCTCTCCTCCATTTTTTAAAAACAGCTTTTTTGAGATACAGCTTGCATATCATATAGTTCACCCATCTAAAGTGTACAATTCAGTAGTTCGTAGTTTATTCACCGATAATGTGCAACCACAAACAACACAATCAATTTTTAAAATTCCATCTCCTCAAAAAGAAACCCCATACTTTAGCTATCACTCCCCTTCCCCCCAACATAGTGAGCATTTTGATCTTCATCTTTTGTTCATAGTGAGCACTTCTTCATCCTTTACTATCAGAAAGCATAGAGTATGGTCTGATCTCAGATTTTCAAAGCAGAGTATAAACTGAGACACATGAAGGGTTATTAAGAACCTCAAAACTTTGATCTAGTCAGAGAAGCAGACGGGGCTAAGGTCTATGACGTAGTAGGGTCAGTGAGTAAATTCAGCAGATAATATACTCAGAAAACCTACTAAATGTTAGATACTTCCCTGTCAAAGAGAATCATCTTAAGAATAGAGATTAATAAAATGAAATTGTAAAGGCAACACATGTAATTAGATTATAAGAGAACATTTACTGTTGATAAATGATTTTTATCTCCTGGTCCAGAAAAAGTACATTCTGGGGTACTTACAATTTATATATGGGATGACAACAAACTGCTGTCAGAAATCTAAGACATTAACAGAATAGGGTAATGACAGCAGACTCAGAGAGGTAAAGGGTCTGCTTACATTGACACTGAATAAGGTTTCATAATGGGATTATTAGGAAGATACTTTGTAAGCATTTAGAAAAGAAAGCAGTAGTCAGTAGAAATCAGCATAGACTTAAGTAAAACGGTCGTACCAAGTTAACTTTATTTCATTTCCTTATATTCAGGAAATGTGGAGGAAATAGTATATTCTTATTTTATCAGAATATTTAACAAAAAGCCTTTTGAATATCATTTGGAAATAAGTGTATATGTAAGTGGCTGAGCAGCCATGCCCAAAGATTATTTATAGATCATTACTGAAAAGAGCATGATGATTCAAAGGCATAATGTTAGGCTCCATTCAGTTACTTCCTTTTCGGCATTTTGGTTAATGATTGAGGCCATGCGAGGCATACCTACCTATCAGATTTCAGATGATACAAATATGGGTACAATAGCTGGCATTTTGGATGTCCTTCAGAATTCAGAAATACCTCCACAGTGTTGAATGATGGGCTATTAATGAGATTAAATTAAATAGTGAGAAGAGTTAAAGCCATCATTGCAGTGTTTATTCCGAAGATCTGGCTTTGAATGAATTATATGATATAATTGCAAAAATTCTTAAAGGTAGCCCTGAGCTACATTAAATTTGCAACATTTGCAGGGAAATGGTGGTCCGGTGTCTTGTGCATCATTCCATCTGGATAGAGTTGAAACATTAATCCTGTCTTTCTTAGGAGGATAGTTAAAGTAGCTGAGAGGAGGTTTTTCTGGAGAAGACTATTTAGGGAAGACAGGCAAGCTGTTTTCAATGAGGAGCCAATGAAGATACTACCTTATCTGCAGTGCAGACCCAGGACCAGCCGACACTATAGTGAGGCAATGTTCGTTTCACTATGAAATTTTCTAACAGCTGTCTGATTCTGAAGTCTGCTAATCCTGCATTACTGGACACTGGAAATATTTAAGGTGAAGCAATGTGGTCATTGGGTAAGAAGATTTAGAAGGTTGTAGAAGGGAATACCGTGGACCTAGATGATTCTTTAGGTACCATTAAAGGCTGATGTCCTCTGAATCTGTGCTAAGTAATCTCCCTGAGGTAATTTCTGGTCATAAATATTTCCGTTTATTTAGCTTTTTATAGCCTTTATTTTTCTCACATATCTTTAGTATTCTACTTTTTTGGCTTATTAGCTATAACTCTTTTGGTTTTTTTAGTGGTTCTTTTAGAACTTACAGTGTATGCCTTTTAACTTGTGGTTTGTCTTCAAGAAATATTATACTGCTTCATGTATAAAAACCTTAACACTGCCCCCCCTTGGAGCTATTGTTGCCACATATTCTTGTTCTACATATGGCATAACCCCAAAATACAGTTATTTATGCTTTAAACAGCCAGTTGTCTTTTAGAGACTTTTTTTTAATAATGGAAAAATCGTTTCCATTTATCCACATTTCTGTCTCCGGTGCTCTTCATTCTTTTCTGTATACACAGATTTTCATCTTGAATCTCCTCCTGTAGGACTTCCTTAAACGTTTCCTATAGTGCAGGGCTGCTGGTGACAAAATCTTCCAGCTTTTCTGTGTCTTAAAAATTCTTATTTCACCTTCATTTTTGTATAATATTTTTACTAGGTATAGAATTCTACAATGGCAGTTTAGTTTTGTTTTTCCCCCAGAATTTTAATGATGTTCCTCCACTATCTTTTGACTTGCATCATTTCTGTCAAGAAGTCTGTTATTTTTTGATTCTTTGTCTGTAATGTTTTTCCCCCCTCTGGTTGCTTTTAGGATTTTCTCTTCACTGAATTTAAGCAATTTGATTATTCTATGGCTTGGCGTAGTTTTCTTCCTGTTTCTTGTGCTTGGAATTTTTTTTGAACTTCTTGGCTCCATGGGATTATAGTTTTCATCAAATTTGGAAAATTTTCAGCTATTATGTCTTCACATATTTTGTCTGTCCTTCCCCCTCCTTTGGGGACTGCAGTTACACATGTATCAGACTGCTTACAGTCATCCTGTAGCTCACTGCTGTGCTGTCTTTTTTCTCCCTCTCTTTGTGTTTCATTTTGAATAGCTTTCATTGCTCTGTCATCATATTTACTAACCATTTCTTCTGCACTGTCTGCTCTGCTATTGATCCCATCCAGTGTAATTTTTATTTCAGAAATTTTAGTTTTTATTTTCAAGTGTTTGATTTTGGTGGGTTTTTTTTTACGTCTTCCATACCTTTACTTAACATGCTCGTTTTTTCCCTGAATGTACTGACTATAGTTATAGTAACTTTTAATGTCCTTGTTTGATTTCTACCATCTGTGTCACTTTGCAGGGCTGTTACTGTTGACTGTTTTTCCTCCTCATTATTGGTTGTGTTTTCCAGTTTTGATTCTTTCCAGGCTTGCTTTTAAGCTTTTTGGAGAGCAGAGTTTAGTCCAGGGCTAATTTTTTATAACAGCAGAGACAAAACCCTTTGAGAGCTCTGCTTTATGCCTGTGAATATGAGGTTTTCCATCAGGTTGATGGGAGCCTTGCGTGAGCTCCATGGCTCTGTTCCCTGGCCTTGGGTACTTACTCGCATGCATGTGCTTACCAGTACTCAGATAGAGTAGCAAGTGAGTCTTTGCAGGTCTCTAACACTCTCTTCAGCGTAGCTGTCTCCTCTCTGGTACTTGGCCCTGCAGAAGTTCCAAGTCTCCTTGGCCTCCATAGATTACCAGCTCTGTCTCCTCACGTGGAGTTTGCCTGTTCTGCCTGGCTTCCCTCTCCCTGTGACGTGGCCTAGAAATTTTCTCCGGGCAGGCAGTAAGCTGGGGCAATTGTGATGTTCATTTCGTCTGTTTCCCTTCTCTCAGGAATCACTCTCCTGTGCTGCCTGAAGTTCAATGTTTAAAATTCATTGTTTCAAATATTTTCCTCCAATTTTTGGTCTTTTTCATGGGGGAAGGTAAATCTGACCCTTGTTTTTCATCCTGCCAGAAGTGGAAGTTTTTAGTGACTTTTTATTTATTGCCAGTATTTTAGCTTTGCACTCAAAGCCTCTTTCAGCTTCATTTCTTCTGTCACTCGCTTATTCCCTCCACACCTTTTCTCTGACAGGCCCTGTGCTGCTTCCTCTCCCTCATCCCCAGTTCATGCCATTCGTTCCCCTCAGTCTCCTTCTCCCCAGCCAGTTCTTGCTTGGCAGTGTCTCTCCATTCTCATGGTCAGCTCAGGTGCCTCTTCCATGTTGTTTCCCTCCCATTTGAGCAGGACTGAACTTTTTCTCCCTGTTCTGTTTCTACTACAACAACATTGTTTTCAGCGTTCAAGTATACAGGTTGTGAATCTGCTGGCCTTCCCTGTCGAGCACATACGTCAGTCCCCACCTGTGCACACACATGCAGTTTTTGACTCCTGAGGGCCAGGATGGGGCTTGCCCACCTTTGTGTCTTGTACAGGGGTCTGGGGGTATGTAATATATAGAGAAGGTATTTAGCAAGTGTAGGTATGTTATATATGTTTGTGAAAATGAATTTTCTCCTCTCCCCCAAAATCAGGCTACAGAAGAAGTTTCCAAAAATCTGGTTGCCATGAAAGAAATTCTGTATGGCACAAATGAAAAGGAGCCACAGACAGAAGCGGTGGCACAGCTCGCTCAAGAACTGTATAATAGTGGGCTCCTTAGCACCCTAGTAGCTGATTTACAGCTCATTGACTTTGAGGTAAGAAATCAGTTTTTTATTTTTCAAAAACACTAACTATTCGTAGTCATTTCCGTATGTTCTCTCTGAAACATTTTAAGGTTCCTGTTGGGCTCTTGGCTCAGGGGTACTGACCTGTAAGCATACCCGGGCTGCCTGTCTAATTAGCGGGGCCAACTCAGGAACTCAAGGGTATCTCGGACTTAGGCCAGGTTTTTTCCCCCTCTTTCACTACATCGTATATGAAGTTTTTTAGGTATTTGTTATGCCCTTTCATTTAGGCTGTATTTAATAAACAGCTGCTGGTTTACATAATTCACTGGTTCTTGGCTCTCAAGGAAAAAACAATCTAAAGAAGACCATAGAGTGTTAGAATTTTTGAGGTAGATGAGATCTTAGAGAACATCTAGGTTTTTTTGTTTGTTTTTAACCTGCTGAGAACTCACTACAGTCGAGATTATATGTGTTTTGTTTGCTTGGCACTGCTTTTAAACATTTAAATGAGGATAACATTAAAACAGCAGGAGATTTTATACACAATTTTGAATTTCTGGCTTCCCTTGGAAAATTTGGCAACATTGGGCCTTGTAGTCTTGTGTGGCCCCTCAGCCCGTGGCGTTGGCATCCACACTTGGGTGTGCCACAGCGGCACAGCGTGCTTTTTCTACCTCGGCCTGCTGCGCTCATTTGCATTTCCTGCTCGTCCCTGGTAGGCGTTTGAGATTGGTGCCCAGGCTTATACAGCCAGATCATCCCATGTTGGATATTTAGTGCATTTATTAGTGAGAAGAATGGTCCCTGATACCAGTCTGAATAAACTAGTCTGAGAAGTGTGTAATGAAGGGCTCTGGCATAGTCGTGAGCAGGCTCCTCTTCGACTCTTCGTTATGGCTGTGCTTTGTTTAAGCCCCAGTGTTTATCGTCCTGAGGGATTGTATGTCTATTCAGGTACTTGGAAAACCAGGGGAGAAAATGACAGACACCCGTAGCTAGATTCAGTTTTAGAGAAGGGTGGGGAAGATGTGGTTCATAGGTTACTTGAATGTATTATCAATAGATAATAAAAGAGAATAAAAATTTACTTCTGTCTTTTAGAACAGACAGAACTATGATATTTCCATTTATATAGCTGGTTTCATATATCTTTAATAGAGTGTCAAATTCCAACAACAAGGATTTTTATCTCCACTACAAAGGTGGGAGTGCACTGGACCATCCAGTTCCTTCTCCTTCATCTTGCCACCCCACTCCCCAACCTGGACCTTGAACTTAATATTCATTTGGGACTTTAGAGACATAAATTTAATTTAAAAGAAATGTGTGCCCTTGAGACTGGTTCTTCGAGATTGCCATTACTACTCCTGACCTAGCACAGGCCCCAGGGTGATCTCTAGTGCTGGAAAGCTAGCGTTTCACTCACTCTCCTGCAGACTTGTCAGCCTCATAAAGTGGCAGTTCTGAAACATCTCTTGGGGTCTACTTCTGCATTTGTTACTTTCTTGTGCAGCTTTCTGATTATAAGTTTCGCTGTATTGTGTTAACATCTACCTATTTTGTTTAGTGAAGTACAGTGGTGTAACTCTGATCTCTGAACTATTGCATCACGTGATACTTAGTACCTTAATTATCTATATATAAAGTTTTTCCCAATTACACCTAGTTTAGTAGGAGGATATGTCTACTTGCCATTAAAGCTCAACTTCTTACAGAATTCTTTCATTTTTATTACACTAACAATACAGTTTCTCCTCCTTCCACCACTATAAAAGGAAGCTATATGTATTGTTTACAATACAAGCATCCTATTTGAAGCTGCTTGGGTGGGAATCGGATCCCTGAACAATGTAAGCATATAGCAAGGTTTTGTTTTTCATATCTGAGTCAGCATGATTCTGAGAGTTAGAAATCATTGAAATTATATATAGTAAGATTTCACTTTGTCAACACATTATTCATGTCAAAAATACTTTACTATTAAAACTTAGGGACTTCCCTGGTGGTCCAGTGGTTATGACTTCACCTTCTAGTGCAGGGGGTGTGGGTTTGATCCCTGGTCGGGGAGCTAAGATCCCACATGCCTCGAGGCCAAAGAAACAAAACATAAAACAGAACCAATATTGTGACATTCAATAAAGACTTTAAAAAAATGGTCCACATCAAAAAAATCTTTAAAAAAAAATTCACTATTAAAACTTAGAATTTGAAATTACGAAGGAAGAAATAAAATAAGAAAATTTAATGTCTACGAACATTTTAAAGTCAGATATTCAGTCATAATTATAAATATACAGTACCTAGATTTGAGTTTATTTAGGGCATTTTGGCATTTAGTCAGGCATTTTGATATTTTTGTCTTCCTTAATAGGGCAAGAAAGACGTGGCTCAGATTTTCAACAATATTCTCAGAAGACAAATTGGTACAAGAACTCCTACTGTTGAATACATCTGCACCCAACAGAATATTTTGTTCATGTTATTGAAAGGGTATGTATAAAGTATAATGTAATAAGATTTATATTTTTGACTTGAAAAATAAAAAGGAAAGATGGTCTTGGGCAAAAACAGGATGGTGAATGTCAGAAAGCATTTCCTCTGTAGTTTCATCAGCTCATTTTCCTGTAGTTCTGGAACACATTTCCCTCCTTAAAATTTAACCTGTGAGCTAAACTGAATTTGAAAATGCCCATGGGATTTTAAAGTTAGGTGAATTGTGAGCCTTTAAATTCTCAAACCATACATGACTGAAGAAAAAAATAAGTCCTCTGTGTTCTTGTTTCTGTTCTCTAAGATATAAAAACCTTAATTGTTGAAATATCAGCTAAATCATGTATTTAAAGACATCTTCTTTGGACGTACATGCACACGGTACTGCAGTAAAGGCTTCCCAGTAAATGGAGCTTGGATGCTATATATAGCTTAACCTTGTTCAGTCAACAGTCAACAAAGTACATGTTTATGACGTACTTCCCTTTGCTTTTCACCTGTGTGTGTCCACTCACCCACTTAATCTGGTAATTCACAGTGCATCTTCCTGGAATTACTGTTGGACTAAGCAGGCATTTATCTTTGGGTAGCCTGTCAGTTTCAAAAAAAAAAAAAATCAAACAAAAACCAAAAAAGCCTTAAAACTAAAAGTTAAGAAAAAAGTCCTCTTCTCTGTCATCGCTGATTGGCAAGGTAACCTCCTGTGTTTCACACCAGAGTTGTTTGCCAGCTCTGGGTACGTGTGCACTGGTGGCGTTCTGTTAAATTGGCGGGCAGCTGTTTTATTGGCATGACTGGTGGCGTGAATCAGCTTGCTCTCCTACCCCAGCTTTATAGCTTGCCTCACTCTGATTCATATCTCTGTGGTTTAACACTTGCCCCAAGTTCAAACTCGTTTAGACAAAGCATGAGTCAGTGCATGTGTTGGATGCCAGCATTCTGTTTCCTTCTTTCTAGTTCTAACTATCTATGTTGCTTCTTCAGATGTTGCCATACGGAATTTTTGGCATCTGATTTTTTGTTGTATCAATCCAGAGCTGCGTGTATGAACATGTAGTGAGTAGTCTGAAATTTTAGTGTTCTTAGAGCAGCTGCCAGATGCCTTTGTGTATTTTTAAAGCCAGTCTTCCTTTTTCCATAGAAAGCAGCGGTTGTTAAAATCTATGAATTAGTTAACTCTGCCTGTGTTTTCACTTTAGAGTGGCCAGGGGTATGATATGAACATTGTTTAATGTCATGTAAAGTAAGACTTTTGAGGTAATATTTAAAGAAAGGTTTCAAGCTCTCAACTGAGCTGACCAGAGCAGAAACCTCAGTTTACGGAGGCGAGGAGAAGCCATTGGTGTTGGGATCCCACAGAAGCCGTCCCCCCACCCCTTACAACCCCTTTCCTACTTGTCACCAGGCTTCAACAATTACTAACATTTATTAACATTCTTGTTTCATCTATTCCTTGCCTCTTGTTTTTCCTCCTCAAACATAACATCACTTCAGTATGCATCATCCCTAGTACATAATAAAGGATTCTTTAACATAACCATAATATCATTTAAAAACCTGATATTATCTAATGCCCAGTCACTGTTCAGATTTCCTTGATTTTCACCAAAAATGTCATTTTTCATTTTGTTTAAATCAGTTTTCAAGCAAGGTCCATAAACTGAATTTGGTTGATATGACTCTTAACTCTGTTAATCTATAATAGTTCCTGCCCCCTTCTTTTAACACCATTTATTTGTTGAAACAACTGGGTCATTTGTTTTGCAGGGAAACCACATATTTGGGATTTGCATCCTGTGGTTTCACCTGTAACCATGTTCCTCTATCCTCTGTTCTTTCAAGTTAGTTTGATTAGATTCAGCTTCAGTTTGGGGGGGCAGGAATTCTTCATGGATGGGATTGTGATGGGATTGCTTCCTGTTGGGCAACGCAGGTTGTCCTACTTCTGGTGATATTTAGATTGATCAGTGGATGTAGGTGTTGTCAGTCTGTCCATTATAAAGTTCTCCATCAACCCTTCACCTAATGGTTTTAGTATCCACTGAAGATCATTGTCTAGGTTCAAAATGGTGATTTCCTAATTCTGTTATTCCTTCTCTGTATATTAAATGTGTTTTGTTCCTCAGCAGTGACTTCTATAGGAAAGACAGAATAGATGCTTGATTTTTTTCCACTGTATCATTTTTTAGTATAATCGATTGGTGCCCTAGCCACTTCCTTAGATGAGCAATGAGTATGTTATTGTCTTAAGCACCATTATGACCTCAAGTTTTAGGGGGTTTTAAAATATATTTGATGTGTCTCAGTCCGTTGCAGTCATTATGACCAAATTTTTATGTCCAAATTGCCCCGTCTTGGGCTATTGGGAGCTCTTCAAATTGGCTCCTGTGTCCTTTTGGCAAGACCCCATTCGTCTTTGATGGCTTCCTTGCAGTCTGGCACAAGATGTCCCTTGCTCATTTTGTACAGAGCCTGCCTCAGACCCGGAAACAGCCATTTCTTCCAGGGGCCCTGTTGAAACTACCTGTTGAAGATGTTTCTGCTTTTTTGGGAATTCCCTGACAATCCAGTAGTTAGGACTCGGCGCTTTCACTGCTGAGGGCCCAGGTTCAATCCCTGGTTGGGGAACTAAGATACTGCAAGCCATGCAGCGTGCCCAAAAAAATAAAAAGATTTTTCTGCTTTTGTTGATTAATTAGTTTGGACTACTTTAACGCAATGTGATTAGCCACTCAGGCTATAAGTATTGACACTTTGATGTTAGACATTTGGGGGAGTTATGCTAACAATATTAGTGTGCATTTGAAAATAATCCTGTTGCTAGTGTTAGTCTAAATCTGGAGCAATCATTTTTCCACTGGCGATTTAAATGTTAATGTGCTAACAGGTTGTACAGCGTAACTGTTTACCTTGTACTCACGGGTTTACATTTAATCGTTTAAGACAAGCTTGACAAACTGCCATCAAAACCTGCCCAACTTGTTGCACCAAAGTGTCTTACCCTTGTCTTTCTAGTCTCCTGCCTGTTACAGATCAGCAGAAATGAATTGTGTGATCAGCCATGTTGGGAGCAGACATTTTAATAACACCTAAGAGCCAGTAAGCCTTCTAGCTGCCATGCCACAAGTGATACAAAGGAACGTGGTTTTGCTTTTGTTGGGGATCTATGATGAACATATGTACAACAGAAGGATAATTCTACTAGATAACACTACTAGTGGATTTCAGGGGATAAAATGTGGGTTTAGTCAATAAGGCAAGAGTTGGTAACAGAAGATGGACTTAGGATTGAGGTTCCAGGTAGTTTCAAATTTGCATAGGCAGAAAAAAGAGTGAGTACAAGGGCAGGAATGAACACAGTGATTGACAACAGGAAGGAGATAGTCAGAGTGTTTTATGGCATAGTGGGAGAGGAGTTGTACCAGAAGAGTAGCTATGATGTGGGGAAGCCTGGGCATCAAAGTTTGTCTATTTGATTAGCAAGAAGAAATCATTATAAGCTCCTAAGCTGGAAAGGCTATTGATAACACTAGTCGTCGGATAGATTTGTTAAGACAGAGCTTGAACAAAGGTGCTGGTTAGGGGTCACTTGAGTGACTAGGTGTGACTTCATGCAGCACTGGGAATGGATAAAAGAAAATGAAACTGAGATATTGCAAAGAAGTATTTAAAAGGGGTGGTGACATTGAGGATGGGAAGGTTGGGAGTAGGTAAAGAGGGGAAGGTTTAGAACTGTGCTGTTCAATACTGTACCTACTAACAACATGTAATTATTTAATTTTAAATTAATTTAAATTAAATGACATTTAAAATTCAGTCCCTCAGTCATACTAGCCAGATTTCAAGTGCTCAGTAGACCGCATAGTTATAGAACATTTCCATTACCAAAGAAAGTTCTGTTAAACCTGTTTTAGACCCAGGTATCTGAAGCAAAATAGTGATGCCATATTAGACTTGTAGAGTTTATGGTAGGCCTTTAACTGAAGTTGTCCAGAAGCAACAGAAAATGCCTCACTACAGCCCAGGGTAGATCTGAGCTGGGGCAATTTAGGAGCCATGGAGGGAACCATGAGGTCGTAGGAGCATTCACTAGCAGGCCAGAGGCAACAGAGGAAGGACCTCAGCCAGGCGAGAAATAGAAACAGAGGAGGTAGAAAGGAGAGCTGGGAGAACTTTTCTTTTTTTAAAGAGAGAGATGCAACGATCTGCATTGTCAGGAAATTAAATAGCAGAATTTATGAGAAAAGACCATTTGTTTTAGCGAAGCAGAGGCATTTACTCGTAAAACGTTAGGAAATGGATTCGATGGCAGGAAAGTAGAGGACACTGAGTGGGGAAGGATATTAAGCCTGTGTGTGCAGCTTGGAAGGAGGTGGAGGAACAGAGTGATGTGTTTGAGCAGAATAGCAGAGTCCAGTCCAAGGGGTTTGATGTACATCAGAATGGAAGAGTCTGCTGGGCTGAGAGGAAAACAAGGTTCTCTTTCTGATCACGGGGAAGGAAGAGGCAAGAGACATTGAGGTGGGTGTAGAGGAAGGCTGTGCGGAAAGCTGATGAGGGATGCCGTGGAGTCCCCTGTGTCCACTGCGAGAGCCCTCGGGCCATCCCTGACTAGGCACTTGGTGACATCCTTTGTAGCATTTATGTGTTGCTGCCAACGGTCTTGAAAGTACTATTTTGAGTACTGAATTGAAACAAGTATAAATGCTGTATATTTGATAGACCCGTTTAGATACTATGAATTTTAGGAAACTATTTTGCTTATTTCATATTGTTTTTTGGTTTTTCTGAAGTGGTGAGAGCACCACATGTAAAACTAAACCGTATTTGGAGGTGTGACCCTGTAGACGTCTCTTCAGATCTTTTAGCTTAAGTAATAAGCTTTTATTTTCATGATCGCTCTCACGGCTGTTATTTTTCTTCGGGTTGAAGCAGTCACGACCAACTAATGTGTGTGTGCCCTCTAGACTAAATCCCTCTGAGCATATATTCTACTCTGAGAGAGATGCATTTCGTAACCTGCTCTGTCACTTAATTAGGACATGTCTGAAACTTCCTGTTCTAAAAATTGGAACTGTTAGAGTTTTTAAAAGAACAGTGATGGGGAAAAAAAGCAGTCATCTTTGTCTTTTCTTTTTGCAGATATGAGTCTCCAGAAATAGCTCTGAATTGTGGAATAATGTTGAGAGAATGCATCAGACATGAGCCACTTGCAAAAATCATTTTGTGGTCAGAACAGTTTTATGATTTCTTCAGATATGTCGAAATGTCAACATTTGATATAGCTTCAGATGCATTTGCCACATTCAAGGTAACATAAAAACTGTAGAATTCTAAATATACATACAAATGAGATTAACAGGTGTGCTGTTTTTCCTAAACCTTCTCTACCCTCCAAGTCTATACATGGCTGCCCTCTAGCGGGAAGAGAGAAGATATATTTAAATATGTATTGTGACTCAGGTATACGCAGTAGAGTCACAGCTTAAAAAGGGTAGAAAAGTTAGATTCTAAAGTCTGTCTAAAAGGCAAAAGTCCTGTACGGTCAAAAGTACACTTTTCTGTTAAATTACCCATCAAGTACAGTATATAGATATGCACTACATGTGAAAATCAGATTTTTCTCCTGTGTTGGAACATACTGCAGCAGTTTCTTTGATTAAGCATCAGACAAAGTAGTTGGCTTCTGTTCAGGGCCATTGTTAATTTGCAGTATACTAGAACCACACTCAGGACAGAGATTTCCCTATTGTGGACAGGCCCAAGGGCACAGTGGACTTCTCTCTCCCATCTCCTGCTCAGGCCAGAGCTTGTTTATTAAACACAAGGGGTGGGGGTGCAGAATCACCAGCACTACTACTCCCCCCTCCCCTGCCTACCTTGTCTCCCTGTTGTGTGTTTGTGTAAATTAAATACACAGATGATACGATACCACTGTACAACATGCACATTTTTGTTTTGAGTTGCAAAGTTCTGTGCTGTTTAAGGTATGTAGATAAAGCAGTAATGTTTTTTAGTGTTTTTCACAATGAGAGCAAGCCTTTATACATTATAGTCCCTTATGTAAAATGTCTGACCTCATAAGTGAATATTTAGAACTGTAATTTTAATATAATCAGAATTTAATATACTAACCTGCAGACTACTGTGCTCAGAAACGATGAACACTGTTACAGTGAGAAGTGGCCCCTGTTTTTGTGAAGGTTCACTTTTATGTATAAAGAGCCATTGAGATGATGAGCACGTCTTGGTCTCTGAATAAAATTTGTCCCTCAGAGCGAATGAACACCCTCAAAATGGGATGAAAGCCTGGGAACTTGGCCGCCTAGGGATTATTAGAGAGGATGTCAGAAGACCTCAGATATTTATATGTTAATGTACAAAGCAAAATGAAATGAATATGAGATTATAACATAGAGTGGAAAATATGACATCTTAGGTATCACTGCACTTGGTGGGATGGGACTCATGACCTGGGATATATTGATGGAAGGGGACACCCCATTCAAAAGAAGCAGACCTGTAATGAAGGGAGATGTAGCAGCACCATGTGTCAAGAAGGGATACTCCTGGGTGGGAAGAAAGCCAGAAGCCTGAGCGTGGGACACTCTGGGAGGAGGAGGGTGAGGGCAGAGGAGAGGAGCAGCAGTGGGGTCGGAGAATGCAGCCAGACCGCCTGACCAAGAAGAGCACAGGTCACACGCTCCTGGCGCAGTTGGCTCAGAGGTGAGAGAGATGTGCTGACTAACTCTGTGCCACAGATGTGAGTCCCTGATTGGCCTTGCTGATAATTCCATCTCAGATAGGATTGCTTTTTTGAATGAAATTCTCACCAAGAAGAAAACGGTGGTGATGGAATCACTGTGGGTAAAGCAGCCCTGTCAGGTCGTGGTAGCCAGAGAGGGAAGGATTGGGCAGAGTCAGGCAGGTATTCCCTACCTGAAGAAGAGAAACTTTAAAACCATGTAGGATTCTAAGGATGAGCTCTAGAAGAGAGAGCAGTGAGGAGCGAGCTTGGCTTCTGTATCTCAGCTGCTCCCGATGACTCAGAAGGGGCAGAGCTAATTAAAGAGCCTCCTGAATGGAGAGCTCTCCAGGAAGCAAAGTTAAGTAGAGCCCAAAACTAAGACAATATAAGAGAGGCACAGACCTACCAAACACCCCTCCTTAAAATGTCTGGTCTCACTTTCACACCAGAGGTGCTGACAAGCAGGGAGGGAGGACCGCTCCTCTTCTGGTTTGCTAATGTCTTCTTTGCAAAGAACATTTTTATATCAGAAAAGAGTAGATGGTTCGTGCTCTCCTTCGAGAATATGACCAGAGCTACCTTCCCAGAAAGTGCATTCTACACACAAAAACTTTGAAACAAATGCAGCTTATCCATAACCCTGGATTTAAAGTCCAAGGAACAGGTGCTGAGTCTTAAAAGGGAATTAAAACTACCTGCGTGAAATATGTCTAAGATTCATAGCTTGAACGAATGGGGTTCTGAGATAGTAAATCAGTGGCCAAATATTTGTTCGTGATTTTTTTTTTTTTGAGGAATTAAGGAGATGGGGAGGGACATCAGAAGGCCAACAAATATATTTCCAATTTTCCAGAGTAAAAGAAGGTAGATTCCCCAGAGAGGCTGGTGGAGCTCGATATTATACCTGTGTAAGGTACTAGAAAGTATTGCTAAAGAGATGATTTCTGAGCATTTTGGAAAGGAAACCGTGTACCCACAGCCAGCATGGATTCACTAAGAGTAAGTTCAGTCATACTAATCTCATAGACGCCAGTAGATCAGGGGGCTAAGGGTGTGGCTGCCTGGATTCAGTTCCCAGCTCTGCTGCTGATTTAACCTCAGTCTTTTCATCTGTCAAAATGTAGGTAATACTACTATGTCAGGGTTATTGTGTCTTCACATAGTATGGGTGCAGTGAACAGTAGCTATTAGAATTATTCCTTTATGACAATGTGGATATATTAGATGTTGAATAATTGTACAGGTCTGTTTTCATGGAAACAATGAAAAGGTAGGAGCTAGATGGAGTTTCAGGGTAGCAGTTCATAATTAATTGAACGCCATGTCCATAAGGAGCCAGAAAATGGATTGCCACCCTCCTGGAGCAGAATTTTTAGTGGATTTGTCTTTACTCAGCACAGCTGAACATTTTTATTAGAGACTTAGATAAAGGGTGATAACAAATGTATACCATGAGGGGATAGAAGGCAGATAACAGAGATCCTGAAATAAGGCCTCATAAAGATCCAGAGAGGCCAGAAGATAACAGGTTGAAATTAAATACGGATGAACTGAGGTCGTCGTCCTGAGGACTCAGCTCTGTCAATATGAGATGTGGGAGTAAGGCATAATAATAATAGGTAATGCTAGGTGTAATTGTTACAGAGTGTAATAATGACTAAAAGGCAGGTAACGTCATATCATACTCAACCCTATGAAGGAGATACTGTTATTATCTCCTTTACAGATAAGGAAACTGAAGCCTAGAAATGTTGGGGGAAGTCAGACCATAAATGGGGAAGCCAGAATTTGAACCCAGGCAGTCTGACTAGAGAGCCCACCCTGAGTAAACAAAATTCTGAGTACGTCCGGTAAAATTAAACAGTATGATGCTGTTGCCCTGCCCCTAAGCTACCTGTGACCACATAATGTGTGACCTAAGGAGCTGTCGATGGTCTCAACCCCACTATAAGCTTATAAGGTAACAACACATAAATGTGTTCCATTCCAGGCGCTACACTTTAAGAGGCACATAGACAAATAGATGACTTTCAGAAGACAGTAGATGGTGAGGGGGACTGAGAACCTGTCATTCGAGGAGTGGTTAAAGGAACTGGACGTATTTAGCCTGAAGAAGAGGAGACTCGGTAGGGACTTGCGTGAGAGCACCACTTGTATTTAAAGTGGGTCCTAGAGAAAATGTACTAAACCTAGTTCTGTTGACTCTGACAGTTTTCTGGAAATAACCTGGGGATAGGTTTTGACTCTCTAGCACAGGAGGAACTTTCTGACTTTCAGAGCTCCAAAGGTGAACCACACAGTTGGAAGAACTGAGTCTCTTGTCCTTGGACATAGACAGTCATCAAGTACGAAACTGGGCCACATGACTTGCCAAGCCTCTGTGAAAATAGCCCCCGGGTGAGCAGCATTTCTTCAGGGATTCCAGGGCTGTCTTTGTGACATGATGTTCGGGACCCAAACTCACATAACTTTTAGGAATCTTTTTAATTCAGCCCACCCTAAAAGTCGGCTGCTCAACCTGCTGGACTTGGGAGATGACCCCTGACCTTTCTCCAGGTAATACCAGGGTCTCGGCTATACTGGAATTTAACAGGTTCTTTCTGTCTCCCTGCTGTCTGGCCCAGCAGCTCTGCTGATCTGGGACCGCGTGCACCCTGTCCACTCTGCAGGTCGCTTACCAGATGCTGGCTGCATGACCACTTGCCTTCGTTTTCTGATCTGTCGGTTTCTGCGCCCCCCCAACCCCCACCCCAGCCTGGTTTGAGCTCTCCAGAGCTCTCGGCTCTAGTTCCAAGGGTAAGGTCTTCTCCCACCTCTCAGGAGACAGAGGCTCTGGCAAGTCCCCACTTCCTCTTTTCCCAGCTTAGTATCAGCCTTTTTACCGGCTCCCGGCAGTGGTTCCTTCCCTGCCAATGTTTTACTCTCCTTAAAGGAGGGCTGCTTTAGCAGCCTCAGCACCCCTTTCCAGTGTCCCTACCCCAAGGCCATGGAGAAGTGATTCCTAGATTGGCACTGGTTTCCTGAGCTTCCTGGTCTCTTTAAACCAGATGATAACAAGTAGAATCTCTGATGGGGAGATGTTTGAGGTTCCCCCTTGTCATGTGTGGCCCAACTGTGAGCCTCTTGCTGCTGCTGGAGGTACAGCTTTCAAGGTAAATAGTCGCCTTACTCAGACCTAAAGAAAAAACTCTGGCGCAGCATATTTAGGATCTTTGCTTTTCAGAGTAATACTTTCTACCTACCTGTTCCTAAGAAACCAACCCCAGTGGAGAGCCGTTGTCTCTGAGACCCCCTCCTTTGGCATTCTCTTTCGTCATATCATGACAGAGTGGTGAGCACCTGGCTCCTGGCTCTGTACTTCCTCACAGTGGCCTTCAGAAAGACCCAGCCACAAAAAGTAGACGTGACACTCAGTCTTGCATGGATCTAGCCACAGCAGTCCTTAAATTCACTTTTTCATTGTTCATTCAGTTCATTCCACAAGTCTCTGAGTGCCTGCTCGTGTCTTTAGGTCCTGAGGTTCAGCAGTGATCTCTTTTTTTTTTTTTTTTTTTGGCCACACT